TCTCTCTCTCTCTCTCTCTCTCTCTCTCTCTCTCTCTCTCTCTCTCTCTCTCTCTCTCTCTCTCTCTCTCTCTCTCTCTCTCTCTCTCTCTCTCTCTCTCTCTCTCTCTCTCCCTAACTTTCTCTCGCCTTTAATGGCGGCACGCGCAGCCCGATGCAGCCGTCGCCCTACTTACAACAATGCTTCTACTTTGTATCGGAGCACAGGTTAAACAGACAACGCGTTAGAAGTAAGCGATTCGCAAGGAGTAATCTCCTTGAAAGGATCCCCTGCGCCAGCAACACTGAACGACAGCGCGGGCTCGTGGGGAGCTACGAACGATTTGCCTACAAGTGGTTTTGCCGCGCGAGGCATACACTCGATACATAGGATATAAGATGTCGAAACAAAAGACGAAGGTGCTAGGAAGAGACGGGAACCAAAGAAAGGATCATCGACGAGCAGTCGTCGATTCGATTAATTGGGCATTCGCCTGACGGCGATCGCGCGTTTCGCCGATGCACAACGGTCCAAACTCCCATCTTCATTTGTTGACACTTAGCGGCGACCTTCCTCAGCATCAGTGCCATTCAACGTCGCATTCAATGCCGCATTTAACACTATACGCAATCGCCTAATTTATATCTTTAAAGATTGCGTTGAATTAAAAATGCTAAATTTGCAACGGCGTCTAGCGTTAAACGGGAGATAGGAATGCAGTCCGAAATGAGCATCGCGGAGTAGCGTCGGCGACAGTGCTACGTACACATAGTTATATACGATCTATCCACGGTAGCACGGAGATCTGGTCCTTCTCGGCCGGCAAATCTCCGATGAACACTCCAAAAGCCCTTCGCCAAGGGCCACGTCTCGCCGGAGGAAATATACAAGTTCGAGCCGAATCCAGGGCGCCAAACAAGCAACGTATCTCGAAACGGCGAAAAAGTATCGCGCTGCAAGTCAACAACTACAGCGAACAGCAAAAGTCTCACGCTCTCCCACTCGCGTGTCACGTTGACCGACGGCGCTAGCGCGAGAAAAAGTTAAAGGAAAGATTCCGGTGAATACAGCTTGCGGAGATATTCTTCAGAGAAATTTTTCCGAATGCTTGCGAATCCGAGAGAATTCTTCCAGTCAGTGATCAAGATCTCGCGAGAATGTGCTTTGTTGCGGAGAGGCATGTTTATTCGCTCGTCTTGCCGCCGCCGGATCGACCGGATGTTTCACAATTCACGAAGATTGGCCGTAAAACACCACGACTAAAAAAAAATTGACCTGTGCCTTCAGCGCTGGATTAGAGCTGCAACAGCAACCTAAGCGCGTCTGATTTTATACGGCAAATTTAATTGACATTATAAATTTTAAAAGCCAAATAAAAGCACGCAACGCAATCTAATTTAATTGACACGCGTGTGCGCGTTGGAGCGCGACGTAACCAATGTCCAGATTAGGCTCTAAGCAAACCAGAAATTCTCGGAGAGCGCACGGCGTTTGAAAACGTATCGGGCATACGCCGCGTTCATTGAAAAATAGCACGTGTTGTGATGCGCAATTAATTAGCTTCAACTATCTGTATTTACCATTCTCGTCACGAGGTGCCGCAAGTATCCTGATATGTCGCATTCGACATCTTTGCCCATTTAGCGCGATAGATTCGTTTGATATCGTTTGCAGTGTTCCAGTAAAGGCCTCGTCCCCGATCGCGCCGATGGCCGATCGCAGTGCGTCTTGTCCTTTCTCCTTTTTCTCGTCGTCTCTGTCGTTAGGATCATCGAATCACATAAATAGTTCGTCACGATTCCTAACGAATTATCCCACGTTGTCGCGAACCGTGTTGTATTAGCAAATCGATTTGTCGGCCTGACAGCTGCCTTCCGGCCTGGCGAGGAACAATTTGCCGCTCGCGCAGGCACATAACTGATAGATGGCCGTCTCTCTTTGACCCTGATGAGTGGACGACGATCTGCTGGCGTGCTGCTGTTGTTGCTGCTCCCTGGACGAGTGTCCTTGCACCGGCATCGCGGTCTTGAGACCCTTTATGTAGACGGACTTGGCGTCAAGTCGGATGCCTCCGTGGACACTTTGCAGCTTTAGATCGGTTAGGCAGGAAGCTGAGATGTCGTTCGCCCAGGATTCGATCACCACTCGTTCTGGAGCGTGGATCTTTAAGGATCTTGTTGCTGACTCGAGCCTGCAACGTAGCAAGCAAACACCGCTCTGTGTGAATATTTATAATATAAACTTTTATAAATACTTTTCTATTTTTGACAAATATTTAGCCAGGTAGGATTCTAAATAAAATAAGTCAAACTCTTTTCCTTTAATAGTTAATTAATATAACAAAAAAAAATACGAAATTAAAAATACAGTCTATTATCAATTGCAGTTTGACTCATATTTTTCTTTGTAATATTGAATGAGTATTTAAAAAAGCATAAATGTTATGCTTGGAGAAATTAATTTAAAACTTTGAAAATTACACATGGCATTCAAACTGTAATTATCAAAATGGATACAATATCAATTTTTAATTTAATGTACTTAACTATCATCCGCAAAGTAATCAAAAAATGAATAAGAAAAATAAGTAAAAAAATATAAAATGTCAATTACGACTCTAAAGAGAAGTAATAAAATTAATAAATAAATATGTACATACATATATACGAGAGTAAGTTAAAAAGTAAAAAAAAACAAAACGTAAAAAATAAAACCTTTTTAAAAAAATCTCTATTTTTTTACTTTCCCTCGTACATGCATTTATACGCACCACTAACCACGATTTGGGTTTTATTGTTGTCTCTTTATTATTCAGATATTTATATGTTTAAATTATAAACACTTGCAGATCAATAAATATTAACAACATGGCAATGTTTGCAGTATCATATAAATATGAAAAACGATGGACGTTAGAAGTTTGAAAAACCATGAGAGATTCGAATTTTGAATTCAAATATTTATTGCAAAAGTTTCGACAGCGAAAATAACGCAAGTGCCTTTTTCTAATTCTGCAGTTTAAAGTAAAACACGAATGTGACAGCGATATAACCATTGTTTGATGCGCCACGGAGGCGGCAGGCGGATTCGTATACCTCAATTTCAGTGCATTACGTTCCAACAATGACGCGGATTACATCGTAAATCTCCGTGTACCCGTAAACCGTCGTCTTATATCCGAAGTATTCCGACAACGGAGTAATATCTGTATTGACTCCCGAAGCCGAACTCACGCAATAATCGATTCTCCCACCCGCCGAGACGGTCCACGTCCGTCCGTCTCTCCTCTTCGTTCTCAGCTCTTTTACCTGCTCTTTTACCAGCTCCACTCCGTCACCTTATTCTACCACAGCCGGTCCTCCCCTCCCTCACATCCGTCTCCTACCTCTTCGGAAACTCGTAGGATCCGCGGTATTTCATATCTGGCGCAAATCCAATCCTATGAATATAATTTTCCGCGCGAGCAAAGTTTTATTGTAATCGTAAATCCGTCTGTAAATTGCCCGGCGCTATCAATAACCGCGCTGCGGCGGTACAACTCCGTTTTGCTTCCCCCTCCCCTCCCCCTCTGTGCTATTTTTCTGCTCCCTTCCTTCCGTCACTACTATTCGTAGACACCGCGATTTCTCGCTATAATACGAGATGATGTTCACAGAGAGATGAGAACGAAGGAGAGGGAAGATTTAGAAGCTGCACTGGCTTGGCTCGGAACGGAGGTATGATGATCGTACGAGTAGATAGAAAGAAATTGTCATTTTTTTTATGAAGAAACGACTCCATCATGGAGACACGAAATGCTGTTACAAAGTGTTATTATTTGGTTGTACGAGCGGATAAAAATGATCGATCGATCGCATCCGCTCAGCGTCTTGTCGTATACTAATTTTGCGGGTATGTTACTTTTAAATGTACACGCCTCGTCTCTTCTGGAGCCGTAAAATCTCATGTTTCTTGCCAGAAGAATAAAGGATCACAGTCTATTAGCCTGACAAATTATTTTTACAACCACCCGATATAAACGACAGCACTAAACCGTCTGATTATTCTGACTCCATTCGGGTAATTACTACTTGCCGCAGGTATAATTATGTGTACAGAGAATTTGTATTGCATTTCGAGCAGTTATTGCAGTTGTTCATATGAATATTGATGATCGCAAATAATTACATAATATTGGTCACAATATTTAGAAATTGTCTATCCACTGGTAAATACTAATGTTAATCAGTAATCCAATTATTTGGATAATTATCAAATAATTTGTGATGCTTTGTGTAAAAAATCCACTTAGGGCTTTTCTATCGCACGATTATATATTCTGTCTGTTGCTAAAAAAAGATTTATATCATATTTACCTAAGACCGCGTCCCGATTCTCCTCTAACTATTGGGGTCTGCACGCTTCCCTGAAAAACGGCACCACCGTCGCCCGTCACCCTCAACATTTCTGCCCCCACAATAACCTGTTCTCTGTCCGCGGAGAACAGGACTCCTCCTCGAGGATCGGTTATTCGAAAACCCCTGGACACGCAATCGACGCGGTCCTCTCCTGAAAGCAGAATTCGAGTCGAACAAATGTTTAGTGATTTTTTTATTTTAAAAGCATGATCAACAAGTTTTGCATATATTAATTTATCTACATTATACATATTTCTTTCGTAAACGTTCCGAGATGGATTGCCGTAATTTTCAAAATAGGTTGCTTACATAATTTTAATTTCTTTTTCCGAAAAGTTGAAATTACTCCTCGCGATGTCGGGTCGTATGAAAAATGTCAGCTGTTATACCCAACCATTTTTATAACTTACCGACTGTTAATCGGGCGAGAAGCCGACCGTCGTGGGATCTCGCCGAGGCTGTAAAATTACTCCATGATTCCAGCACCAAGTTTTTACCTCTCCGAGATCGTAGACTGGAGGCCACAAGGGCGTCTAACACGGCAGCTTGACCTCTTAGCTCGATTCCCCCAGGCACCACTTTTAGCGAGCCGATACCTTCCTGAAAGAAAAGGAAATGACTGTCAGGACAAAGAGGCAAACCGTCGAAACTTTCGAGGCCGCGGCTATAACGCTCGATAAAAATAGAGTGGTGCCACACCACAATTTATTGCCCCTCTTGTACACCCGTTCTATTTTCCATCAAATTGACAGCTGACTCAGACTTCCTGTTCCCTATAAACACTATTTCTCGCGGTGCAAAAGTATAATTTTTCTTTTTAACCATTTTTTAGCCAATCTTTCGATAATTGCTGTAACATTCGGCGATAAACTGTTTCTAAAAAAAAAATGAATGCTAAATTGATTAAGACTAAGATATTAAAAATGGGAGAGAGCCTATATTAAACCAAGACGGTCTAAGACGCTTCTTGCATGCTGTATCGTCGCCAGCAAAGCCGGAATTTATTAAAATCGGACCGTACGCTGGAAAGCTTCGCAATATCGATATCTTCGAGATCGAGTGAGCACGCCGTCGCGCTCGTATCGTAAAATAAAATAATATACTCCATTACTGTGTCGAGTTTCAGCATGGCGGTATTAAGTATCGACTGCGCTCGCCATTATTGCCACTTCAGACGTCTGAATTATAAATGCGGCGATGAGCTACGTGTGGGTTACACGCAGTGATCCATTGTATCCGTTCGTTTGAAATATCTGCCGTAATATCCGAAACAGTGGCGTAGGCAGAATTTTATTTTAGCGCGGTCTCTCTCTCTCTCTCTCACTCTTTCTCTCGTTCGCCCACCAACCACTCTGGGGAGGGGGGGGTGGTATTGAGCGAAGAAGGGTGAGCGACCCGGGGTCGGGACGAAAGGAGAAACACACTATAAAGTAGACACATTGCGCGTTTGCATTCATCTCGTAAACTTCGGGTAGTCTCCCACCTGGGACTTATCCCGAGCGGAAAGTGCAATTTGGCGTTTATGAAACAGTCTTACCGCGTATAATTGCGATCGAACTTTGCCCCCCAGCTATGTTAACAGATATTTTTTTTTGCTGAAGTGAAAATGTCTTTAATTATTTCCAGAATAATCGATAGATTTTGCAAAGTAATCAATACTATAAACATTTTTGGAACATATATATATAAGCAATTAATATTACGTAATATAAACACACATATATACAAATAAAAATTCTCGAAAAAAAAATCAAAGAACCATCAGTCGGAATCATGCTATCGTAGTATTCATTATTATGGAAGTTGAATTTGCATAGAGAGATTCTATTCACGCGTATCAATATGGCAAAAATGATTGGATCGCTCTTTACCTTTTGTGCCCAATATGAATGTAGTTCGACGAGGGCCATCGCGATTACATTTTTCATATTAAAGTGAACGAAGTATATATTTTAATATTATACCAAACGGTGAGTATTTTTATTAAAAGGCTGGCGAAACATTAGATGCAATTTGAAACAGACAAATCACTCGCAAAATATCTCACATTATTACTCTTTCCACCCGTGCTGTGCCGTGTCTTTAAAATGCCATTACAATAGAATAGCTCGCTCTTCGTACTACCGTCCACATTGGTTTCCGATGATTGGCCGCTCGATCAAAAGCAATTGCCACGCTCTGTCCACTTATTATTACTACTGCTGGCCCAAGTACACGCTGTCCGAACTGGTTTAACCTCTGATCAAGCGGACTCCATTTCGTTGGATTTTTTTTTTTTTTTTTTTTTTTGATCGGACATCGCGCGTCGACCGTACCGAATATTTGCACACAGCGCGGCAATTTGATACGTCGATTCGCGGCAAAACGATATGGATAATTTCTTTCGTTAATTGAGATGTGAAAAGCCGAAAAGACAAACTTTATTATCGCAAATAGTATGATATTTCACCGAAATTTTATCGTAAATTGGATACATAATTTGGAAGGTATTCTGAATCATATTCATTGTAAATGAGAAATTAAAATTCCACATATACGCGAAGAATTAAATGTCCAGAAAAACATTCTTTTGAAAAATAAAAGCAAATTTCATAATAGACGTAAATAATCTTTCATTTACATTTTATTGATTTGGAGAGAAAAATGCAAACACTTTATTTTTTTTTAAATTCTCACATGCTAGAATATTTAAATGGTTAAATAAACCAATAAGGTTTAAAATATTCAATTAGAAAACGTTTTATGATACGCGAATGTACATATATAATTGTATATAACTAATACTGGTGGAAATTAAATTATTATTCTACGTAAACAATTGCGGTGAGCGAATAAGCGTATTCTGCATAAATATTTGATGATTTTCACGCTTATACGCTAATAATGCTATTAGTATCTTTGTCGAATCTTTGTTAATCGATTCAATTTCATAATCCGCCATTGTGCCAGTCGTAAGCGTCGGCATTCTGAAGGTAACAACCGGCTGCTAGATTTCGCCAAGTCGGTTGCAAGATTGCAGTTTAAATACTCGTTCATGGACTTTCCAGCATCAGTCCGTGGCCGCAATCGGCGATGGGAAAAGAAAGAGGACGAACGGTAGTTCTCGTGCCACCGGCACTCGATTAGCCAAATCGTTCGGAAAACGATACGATCTCTTCGCCTTCTACTTAACCGTAACCATAAACCTCAATAGCGTCCGCGCGCGACTGAGTCAGATCATAAGAAAGAAAACAAAAGGAGACACAATCATGCGAGAAGAATGAGAACGGGAAGAAACGCCGGACCGAAACGGAGATAGCGAGAAAAAGAAACGAGGCGCGCAATAAGCAAAAAAAAAAAGAAAGTAAGCGTGAGAGAGTAAATGGAAAACCCAGAGAAGAATAAGAAAAGAAAACGAAAGAGAAAAGAAGGGGGGGTGGGAAAAGGGGGAGGGGGGAGGGGAGGAGAAAGGAAACGTAGCGGACC